CCCGGGGAGGCCGCGTCAGACGGGGAGTATGCCGACCAAGACGACGAGGGCCTGCTTGGCCGCCGAGGCGTCGTTCCCCGAAACAAACGAGAGGCCTTGGCAGCCAACTTCCTGTTGTTAGGTGTGTGTGTTTACCGTGAGAAAGTGCTGCCCGGTTCCATCAGCGGACGCCACCCAAGGGGTGTGCCTACGGACCCCGCTAGAGGGTGTGAACGCGCCGGCGTGCTCACCTCCGCCCCCGCCCCCCACCGGGCGCCTCGCGGTCTTGGACGAGAGAGGTCCTGCTCGCCGCTGCTCGCAAAGCCCGTGCGTCGCGATCGCGGATCGCCTCCGTTTGCCTTGAGAGTCCCAGAGCAACTTCAGCGATCGCCCCGCCCCTCCGCCAGTGCACTGTGCAAGTAGTGCGCACTCCTTAGCGCGCCTCTCGCCACGCCACGGCCTCATCGCAGATATCTCCGATACGGTCGTTTTGACTACTTGTTGTGGGAGTGCGTGACACATGTCCGGGGCCGGCAGGCGTCACCACCACGTCACCCGCACGACGAAGTCTTCTTCGTTTTAATCCGACAGCGCGTCCCAAGCAGCGCTGCGGGCTGTAGAGAGAGTCAGCGGAGCCAGTGCTGCGCTGCCAAAGCCTGGCGGGGGCTAATCGCGAAGTGATGAGCAACAATCTGTCAACGGGACATGACGACGGCGTTGTTGGACGTGCGTCGCAACGCGTCGGGGCGAAGCAGCAAGACTGCTGCCCAAACACACGGGCGCTATTGGCCAACACGCGCGCGGTCCACGTGGGGGGTCGCGCTGGAAGGGAGGGGGGGGGGGGATGGAGGACTCGCGTGGACGGGTGGCTACGAGCTGTAAACCTCAATCACAGCGATCTGCAGATCACTTTGGCAGCACGGAAAAAAATGATTAGCTGAACAGCTATACCAATACATAAATGGGCGATTACTTATTATTTAGCTTCGTAGCTAAAAAGTATAGTGATCCCTCAATTATCTATTGTGCGGAGTAAAGGTCGTCGGACGGAAAACGGCCAAATAATGTGCCGCCGATCCGCGGATCTCCTTGCCTACCTCTCCTCCTTCTCCGCCACTCCGACTGCCTGCTCCACCGCCACCGCCCCTAGAACTGATTCCCATTGGCCGGCGCAGTGTGTGTGTGTGTGCAGTGGGGCTCGGACCGTGCGCGCAGCCCGCAAGCCAAGTCCCCCTCCTGCTCCTGCCCCGGCCCCGGCCAGCGCAGGTCTCAGCCCGGCTCAGCACAAGCAAGCATGGCCGTGCTCCGGCCGGGCTCAGGCCGGGCTGCGCCACTGGTCTCGGCCAGGGCATTACCACAGCGACAATGCCGCACAATTAGCGTCACCGTAATCCGCAGCGCTAAACAACTGAACACGCTTAATGCTTTTAATGTAGGACAGGCCGGAGGGGCGGGGGGAGGGGGGGGGGACGCAGCGGAGGTGGTGGCAGTGACTTCTGCAACAACGCCGCGCCACGACCGGGGGGCTTATGCCGTCCGTCTCTCTCGCACCCACCCCCGCGCGCATAGTGTGTGGTGCAGGTGCGCGCGCCTGTGTTCGCCTCGCAGTGTGCTTTTGCCGTGTGCACGCCGTGCGTGCTGACGTCGTCACTGCCATGTTTGTTTGAAATATGTGTTTCGGTGACGCAGATCCGATGATCCGGGGCTGCGTTCGAGACGGGGGCCCCGCGCGCCCCGCGTCGCCCGCGTGGTGCAGTGGGAGTCCGCGCTGGCACGCCGGACGGCTCGGACGCAGCGCGGCGGCGGCGGCGTCTCTACGGGGATCGGCGCTGTCAAAGTTATTGGGACTCATCCCCGCTGCTGTTGCTGACCAATTTCGTCCTCATCCTCTTGCTCACAGCGCGCTACCGCCAGCTTACAGCAGCCTTCAGCTAGTTCTGCAAAACCGCAGTCCCCTCCTTGCGTCCGGAAGCAACGTGTTGTCGGTTTCTCCGCTGTTTTTCCTACGAGGGAGCTATAGGGTGCGACAGGCAAAGAACGACCAGCACCATCATACCTCGTACAGGCGGTGTAGAAATTAGTCTACAGAAAGAGAGTTGGAGCGTCACCACATCGCACTACTTGGTGTCGATGCGAGTCTCCTGCCCTGCTTCGGCCGCAGCGCCGCGCGTCACCCCCACCCACCGCCGCGTGCCTCTACGCTCCCACTCCCGCATTCAAGTCCCCTCGGCGGATCGCAACCCAATAGCCGTCGGGGTCGCAGCCCTCCGAAAGCCGAGGAGGAGTTTTTCCGCGATTTGACACTAAGGCTCATTGAAATCCTTCCAAGGTTGACTTCGCCGGAACTTTCCTGCTCCAGAGCTTTCCTCAACCGTCGGCGACGTGCCCGAGGCCCCGGAGTGAAGGGGCCGGGCCGGCCGCACGCCTATACCAGACCAGACGGCAGTAGGCGGCATGGCAGCAGGTGATTGACTACACAGGGTAATAATTGGCAGATAATGATTATCACTTTGGAAGCAGCTCGGCTCGGGGTCTCCGCGGGAGCTACCTGTCTGGTCCTGGTCGGCAGCAGCCCGGCAGCCCGGCCGGTGCGGGGTCCGTGCTACCCGCCGGGACAAAGGTCAGGATTAGGCGGGGGAGGAGAAGTGTCACTTGCCTCGATGCGATGTGCGGGCGGAAAGGCGACACCACGCGCACCAGCGCACCATCCATCCCATCGGGCTATAGTAGGTAATTTTTCGGGCATGACATTCTTGGCGTACTCTGTCATCCATACACAGGGTGGGAGTTCTAAGCCTCCGTACGTTTTAACACTAGAACTACCGAGATTTTCGTATACCTAGATCTACCGGAGGGGTCATTTTGACCCCTAGGTACTATTCCGCCGTTTTAGCTGTTAAAAGACTGTAGTTTTGGGTACACAACTTCTTATTTTCGATTTTCTTGACACTTGATGCAATTTTTGGACCTACGGGGGTCACTGTGCGGGGGGTGGGTAGGCAACCCGCAAAGCACAAAATGTGATTTTTCAGAAGTTTTTATATTTTTTCGCAATTTTTCGTTTTGTTTCGGGTGAATTGCATAGGATTACAATCAAATACAATAATTCTCAACATTTTAGCATAGCCTGTGTTTATTTCAGTCTGACAAACAACCGTAAACATCGCAAATACTGTAAGTTATTCTGAAACTAAGGTTCTGCGAATAAAATAGTATACAAATATTATGCAATAACAGTCGTAATAGACCATTTATTAACATTTTTAACCTCCGTTCGGCCATGAAACGCGTTTTCAGGCCGACAGAACCGTTGCGAATGGCTTATAAGTCTTATGTAAGGAAAACATGATTTTGTGATGTGCGGGGTTGCCTACCCATACTGATAGAGGTTCAAAATTGTCACACGACCAAGCGGAAGTCAATACTTACCACACAGAATAACAATGGCAAGGTTTAAGTTGAAAAACGCTCGTTAAAACCATCCCAGCCTTCGAAAACTAATACAGGGGTCAAAATGACCCCTTCGGTAGAGCGAGGTATATGTTATAATGTCTCCTAAAGTTTTTGACGCACATGCCTGATTTTTCGTGTCAAAGCGTATTTGGGTGACCCATGAAAAGTCAAAAAGTAGCGGGTCGGTAGAAAAAATTTTTGATAGTTCATTTAGCAATTCAAAATCAAAAGGGGTCATTTTGACCCCTCCGGTAGTTCTAGTGTTAATTCTGCTTTGAAGTTCAAGAAGTGAATTGTATACTGCATCGGATGCAGTTGTCCGGACGGGTTGCATAACTCGCACGGGGCCATACGGCAGCGTCGTGGTGAGAGTCGGTACAGTATTAACCAGAAAAAGTTTGTATAAGAACACCCACTCTGTATGAGCTGCGTATGTATGGAAGAGCTGACAGAGTTGTGTACCATCATGACATCAAGGAACGGCAACGTGGCGCTCTGGAAGGGCATTTGCAATAGGCTCGCTCAGTGTTGCACCCGCCTGCCACCACTCCTCGCCCAATGTGAATGCCCACCCATCTCTGACGGGCTTGGTTACAACATGCAACATGCAGCCTACCAGGTGACACCGCTCTCATCTAGCGTGAAATGTGTTCACGGAACAAATATAGTGACGCCACGCCACGCCACGCCCTCTCTTGTTGACAGGTTCCCTCTCCTAATTAGAAGCCTCCGGTTTCCGGTCTCGCGTGTTATGGAACAAATAGGCCGGGGCCCATAGGGCCCGGGGTGGCGGGCGGCACGGCCCGGCGCTACGGACACCCCTGTGCCCTGCCATCATGCAAAGGCGGACGTTTACCAACGGACCGGGGTGTATCAGAGCAGAGACGCCCCCAGAGTGTTGTGGGCTTCCATACCGCTGTGATACACCCGGGCATCCGGTATATACGACGAGTGTTGTAAGCCGCGCCCCTTCTGGTTATACTCTACCGCATGCAGGCGTGCAAACGGGTTGCATACTCGCACGGGGCCGTCAGGCGCCTTGTGGTGAGAGGGGTGAGAGTCGGTAGGCAAGCACGCACGCACGCCTGCATGCGGCACTCTAACCAGAAGGGGCGCGGCTGGTGAAATCAGACGCAGGTATTAAATTGTCTGTCGTATTTGGTGATGAGCCGGGTTTCTCAGGACATGCGCCGCCGCGGATTTGCCTGCTCCCCACGCCCATTCCCATTAGGCACCACTGCCCCTGCGGCCCGAGCGAGTACGCAAGCCCGCAGCACTATGGCGCTTCAGTACGTTGAATTGTATTTTCTTTTCCTGGGGGCTTCACAGACAGCAATCTTAACAGATGACTGTATTTCTTTCGGACTTCTTTCGTCACGAATGTGTGATGTACTTTGTATTTGTACTTTGTAGCCCGGGCCCTGGCACTGTGTAGAGCTACATTCAGTTTAGCCACGCTCACGCTCTCGTGAGGTGAGCGTGTCTAAGCTTGAGTATGGGTGCAAGCGAGCCGAGTCGATCATCCATGAAGAAACTTCGTGAAGGTGTTTTGCAATAAGGAATCAATGTTTTAAGCATATCTGTAACAATATATTTATTTTCAACGTTCATTTTTTAAATAAGACTTTAGGAAATTTGATTAAAGAACCTAAAATGAGAATAAACATTGAAAATATGACAAATTTTGTGATTTAAGATGGTTTTGTTCCTTTCTAGGATGAGAACAAATAAAACAATGTACTGAAATATCACATTGACACGGGTTTTGTTTAAAAATTGCCTCATTGAAATGCATATCCACATTTCATTAACTGAGTAACATTGTTAGTATACAAAGGAACAGCTACATAAATATCACAGATCAATTAGTAAAAAATAAATAGAAAAGAAGAATCAACACAACTGTGCTCTAAAAATTTGTTCCTTGATTTAAGAACAGAGTCAATAAATTATTTTATACACTATATAGCTATTTCAGAAATTAAAAAGGTGATCATATTTGTAGAACTTAGAAACGTAATACAGGTGTCATCAGCCAAAGCGTTACCTCTGGATGAAATGGTTAATCAAAAACAAAACAAATGGTCTACAAAAAATTTCAAAGTGACGTACAGTTTAACAATGCAGTTGAACTTTAGAACTCAGTATTCTGGAAGTGAGAAACTACCTACTAGTGAAACCTCATACTATGAAATAGTAATCTAGCTTTAATAGTGCAAATTGGAGACAACGGTCCACCACATCAAAATTTGCATGTTTGGACTTACAAATTCCAATTGATATAATTATATAATACTTGTACAATGGTCAAAGTCTCATAAAATATGAAAACAACTTTGTAAAACTTTCAAAAACTAAACTTCTAAGAAAGCTTGGACGATACAACACTAAGTGGCTAGGAAACACATATTTGGACAAAGTGATAAATAAAGGTTACATTTCTATGCAGTCTCACAGTGTTGATGATTCAGGTTGATCACAAATGCACACAGGAAGCTTCCCTCTAAAAGCTACAAGTTGGGTATTTTCAAAATTTAATTTCATGAACAAATTAAAATGAAAATCTTTAACAATGATAATAAAATTAAAACAAAGTAGCATAGCACAAAACAATTTGTCAATAGTTATAATTGGAAATCCTCCTGAAACAGAACAGATGTGCATTTGTGAAGAGTGATGCTCTTGGTGACAAGTCATAATGCCTAGGAGTACGCTTCGATTTAAATAAATTAATACAAAAGATAAATTAATGAAAATGACAAGAGGATCATATGTAGGTGAATGTGAACACCTGACAGTCACAAAATTGATCACGGGGTGATCAGTTAGGACAACAAAAAGTGGCTTCCGCTCTTCCCCCTACGTTCGACTATACTATCGCAAACACCAGCGTTTCCGGGGACGAAGCGTGCGTTTGGCTGGAGGGGCTCGTGCTCCTATCGTAGCGCGGTGGCGGTTGGTCATGCTTTGGTGCTCGGCTCCCTCGGGCCACCTCACTGAGGGCGATTGAAATACTCCAGCATCTGGATGATGTACTCCAGGCCGTTCATGTACTCGCGGAGGATGATCCAGTCTCGCACGTTACGCCAGCCCGTGCTCATGTTGGGGTCCCGGAACTCCCCGCTCATGATGTCGGGGGTCACGTCGGGGTGTTGGATGACTCCCTGTTCGGCCATGGCCACCTGGACTTCGCACAGAACCTGCAGGACAAAGACAAAGGGCTGCGTTAGTCACGGCACGAGTGTATTTGGCGGCAGGCCGCGCGGCGCGCGCGGCTCCAGCACAGCAGGGAAGGATTTTGAAGTGGAAGGAGGGCTGCCAGGATACTTACGTTTCTCAGACGGCTCTCCTCGATGTCAAACTCTTTCTTGAAAGAACCACCGTTGGCCTTCTGGTCCAAGACCACCTGTTCAAGGCCGACGGCGTACTTTTGCAGGTACTGGTAAATGTCCTTCAGGGCATCTTCAAGCTGAAAGCAGAGAGAGAGAGAACCCATAAGAATACTATCCAAATGTTTTCGGAAGTGTGAGGAATACCACTTTAGATCTCTAACATAGCAGCGGGGAGTGTGCCAATCCTTACCTTCTGTTTTTGAAGGTGCCCCTCGTCGACTTTGTCCCCGAGTTCCTTGGGGATTTGGGGTAGCCAGTAGTACTTGTGCTCCTTCCAAAGGCCGTGATGGTCACTGTAATCCTTCTGGAACGTCTCCTCAACCTGTGAACAATAAAAGAAAGCAGCATAGGTTAGCAACTTGAATATTTGGCATTTTCATTTTGCTCTTGTTTTTTTTGGTGTGTGTGTCTTTTTTTCTTTCTTTCTAGAGCAGAGCTATCCTCATTTCCCGGACCATTACCGCCGGGGCGGAGCGAAGCTATTGGCGCAAAGTCCATCAGCTGCTCGCCTTTGTGGCGGCCGTTCGGACCGGACCGCCGCGCAAACTATGTTGGTTTTGCATCGTCATTTGTTTTACACCCCGCGCCGCAGCCGCGCGGCTGTCGTCGTTTCTTATTTTATCACCTCCGCAAAACGAACTGCCCCCCCCCCTCTCCTTCCCCTATTCCGCTTCATATCCATGCTCACCTCATAGCACCTCTCGCGCGGCGCGGAATCCTCCCCGAAGCAAACAACATTACAACCGCGCGCGGCGGACTTCCCCCGCGCGGACAAACACGCCCGATATGCAAAGCGCGCGCGGGGCTGCTCCGGCGAAAGGGCGAAGAGAGAGAGAGAGAGAGGCAGGCCTGGCCGGGCCCCGGACACGCCCCGGGAGACGAACAAAACCCAATTGGTCGGCCGCAGCGCAGCAGCGCCACAAACCCCCTTTTGCGAAATTGTCCATCAGGGCCAGCCAGTCCCGGTCATTGCGGACTTCTCGGAGAGCAGAGCCAGCAGAGCCAGCAAAGCCCCGCGCGCCGCGCCGCCCCTTGTCGCCAAGTTGTCGCTCTGGATCCTGCCGCCGCCGCTCCGGGCTCCAGGCCGCTGTCCTTCGTTCGATCACCAGCGCCGCGCTTTTCGTTTTGTAGACAATTCCCCCGTCCTGTCCGCCCCAGCCGGAGCAGAGCTAATATAATTGCCCTCCTGCGGTGGAGGCATTACAGCCCCCCCCCCCTGCTCCGGCCGACCACCCGCTAATTTGGATACATTTGCTCGACAGTTTGCCATTACATTGCGTTGCTTTTTAACGCTTCCCCCCGTCGTCCAATGGGGGGCGGCAGCGCGCGCCCGGTGGTGGCGCACTACTGTAACGACACCGCGGTGGAGGCAGACGTAGGTGTGACTATGACGCTCCACGACAGACACCACCAACTTGGCTTATGCGGATCGCATATAGTACACGGTTTGCTCGACAAATAATGGCACAAAAAAACGTACAAGGTAAAAATCTGTCATAAACAGAGAGGCGTGTTTTTTACCCCCCTCTCGCAGCGACACTCGACAACGGCCTGTGGTCCTTCCCCTCTGCTTTTTTTTTTAACATCTTTTTTCCCTCATCATCTGTCGATTTGTTTCCGTTTGGGTGTCGCGCCGGAGCTTCAAAGCCGAGTCCCGCGGCGGGGCGGGGCGCGGGGCGCGGGGCGGGGGTCGGGGTCGCCATTTGGGTGCCGGGGTCCTTTCTCGCCTCACCTCGCCGCGGCCCCCAAATCGCACGAGGAATTGCCGCGGCCGCCGGCCGGCCCGCGTTTACGAGCGAGAAACATCTACAAAGTATCGCCAAAAAAGCTCCGGGACAGTAAACCACGCACAC